AAGACCTATATTTGTATACATCTGATTCGAGTCAAACATCGTGAAGGCCTTGTAAAGACTTTTTCTCTCCATAGAATTGTTGTCAATTTATAAAGCCATTGATCAACATTTACGTAACTGGTATAGAGCATATGTTCAATAGTTCAGAGAAAAAAGTAGTTTGTGATAAACGCAAAAGTCTTACCTTCCCTCAATAGATTCTAAACAGTCCGGCCACAAATAAAAAAATCAACCTAGGTATCTGATATTATATTAGGTATTTCAGATCTGTGCAAAAATGCACAAAAATAGGATGTAACAAATTACATTTCTAATAAAAGTTAAAAGCAGAGTCGGACAAAGGGCTGTCCTAAAATAAAACATGATAGAGTTTTAGTAACCGTAAAAAAATGTAAATTTTAATGAGCTGTAGACAAGAACTGTTAAGCTCCTATTTGCTGTTGTACACATACAGAAGGAGTGATCATTAGCTTGAGAAGACCAACTTACTTTGCTAACTGTTTCAAAGTGTAATTTTTTGTCAATTCTGATTTCAAACCACAGCAATCATTCGTTTCTTTTATTCTGTCCGAGCTTAAAGGCATATATCTTCTTAAAACCTTTCATACTGTTATTCTTAATTTACTTACCCAATGGAAAAGTGAACTTTGCGTTATTACAAATACACGTTTCTAGGATTATTCTTATAATCTATCGCCACCTCTACTGGAATGTTGAATGGAATTAAATTTTGATGAATTAATCGTTATCACTATTAACTTTTATACCATTCAGCAATCAAAAGAGTTTTCTTACACGACTAACTACGAAATGATTAAGTAACCGACGGCTTACAAACGATCAGTTTTGTAGGTGTAGTATTGACAGTTCAGTCTTAACTTGTATTCTCAGTACAATATTAACCACGTTCAGGGGCCGCCACTAACAGAAAAAATTTAACTTTCAGTTTTATTTCTAAAGCACATGGCATAGAAAATACGATTGTTCAGAAGATAGCGCGTATGCTTTTAATGAATTTCTCTGTTTACCAGTTGCTTGTGTGTAACGTTATAATTATAATTTCAAACACAAATGTGTTCTGCTTCCTGAAAACATGTCCTTTCAAAGCTTACTTTAAGTAAACCTACCATGCACCAATGATAGAGCTGTTTCGTATGCGACCGTTTTCCTAAGTAACAGTATAGTAGGACCTCTACATGTATAGAAATATCATGTCATTTATACCACGTGATATTTAGATAACGGTAGACTAGACTACATTTCTGTTCGGACAGTCTTACATAGCTTACGTATTACTCCATTTGTACCACAACTAGTTCTTCGTTGGAAAACTAATATTTCAAGTATGATTATATACAAACCTTAAATCACTAATTTTAATGCATTAGTTCATAAGCTATGCAACTTATTTAATTATATTATCAAAAATGTGCTTGTTTGTAACTATATAAAGAGTTATCCTCAAGCATCTAATATAGCTATACGTATGACATATCTATATTTCTAAGTAAACATGTTCGCTTACATAGCTCAACAAATATGCTAATGTTTTCTTCTTCTTTTTTTTTTTAGTTGTGCGGTAACTTACAATCTAACAGCATTTTACTATAAACTTTAATTACTTGTAACACAAAGTAATGTGTATTAGAAAAATTATTTTTAAACTAGAGCTATTATTTTCTACAAATGTCAATATAC